ACGGTGCCACTATTCTGTTTACAATCCGGCTCAACCCCTACCAGTGATGGCAGTAAAGGGGAGCCTACCCCCCCCTCCCCCCACACACACACACACACTCTGCCTCCACAACCCCCCCTCACCCCCGAGCATGGAGCGGTGACTACTTTACAACACACACAGGGACCATGGGGGACAGATGTAGTCATCCTCCAGAAGGAAGGACAGTGTCAGAGATGATTGGAGGATCTACAGCCGAGTGATACAAATCAGATACATTGTTGTTCAGAGTTCAGGGACTTGAATGGATTATTAAGAGTTAACTCCGGAGTTTGGTGTCACTTTAAGGTAACAGCAACACATTTCGTGGTCACAAAGACTCTTCCTCGGGGTCGCCTCATATAAAACCAAAGACTGTGAATAATATCTGCACATGAACGGATTATAAATCGTTGAACGGGCCCTCGGCGGTACAATCTCTTTCATTCGTCCTCTTCTGGTGTCCCTCTTCTGCGCTTCACTTTCAGGTGGAGTTCATTTCCTCTTGACTTAAGAGAAGTTTGGTTTTCCACCGTTAAGCCCGGTGACACAAAGGATCTTTTGTCTCGATGTAAACAGCGCGGTGACACCTATTCCCCGTATCTTAGCAATCCTTTAGCCGCATTGCCTCTCAACGCTGGGGGATCTCTTGAACGGTGAAGTCAAGGACCATTAAACATCCTTTGTCATGCTCATCCGGCACTTTGATCTCAGCTGACACCTGTCACTACCACCTGCCTGCACTACCACCTGTCCGCTCAACACCGAAATAGTGTCCTCAGGCCTCAGAAAGGGGGCGGTGCTTATCGCAGATTCTGATTCCTTAAAACCGATGGAACGTCCTCAACTCGTCCTTCACCAGCTTCACCAGTTACCTGGAAATGGTGGAAATCACAGGAGATTCATATCGGTGAAAACATCTTCTGAAGCCGCTGCAAATCACCAACTAAGAGAAGAAGAAAGGTTACAAATCACTAGGGATGCAGCGATATATCGGCCGCCGAAACATATCGGCCGAAAATGGCACTTTTGGCTTAATGCCCGAAAGTGCCATTTTCCTGCCGATACATCGGCGCATCCCTGCTTTCTTTCCTCCCTGCTGGGTGCTGCTCTATGTCCCAGCGGGGTGGAGGGAAACTGTGACAGCCGGCCGAGCGCTGCGGGAGGAGAGCGCTGTGAGCGGCTGGCGTCTCTCCTCCCACACCGCTCAGCCTCCTATCACAGATCAGAGGAGAGCAGTGTGTGGGCGGAGACAGCGCTGTCACAAGAGGCTGAGCTCTCCTCCCCTCACCGCTCGCTCAGTCTCCTGTGACAGAGAGGAGAGCGGGTACAAGCAGTCGGTGATCAGTGATTGCTGAGTGTTTGTAGATAATTGAGGACAGAGTATGGTTACTATATCCTCAATTATGAATGAATGGGAAGTGATCTACATCACCTCCTACATCACTTCGTGTTCATTCATGATTGTAGTTATAGTAAACATACTCTGGCCTCATGTTATGAAGGATCAGGAACACTCAGTATAGAGGATTCCTGTTCATTGATAACTGGGGCTGCAGAAAAAGAGATATTTCCCACGAAGCCCCTAAAAGTAAAGTAAAAAATACAAATATTTAATAAAAAATGAATAAATCAATAAAAAAAATTAAAAGTTTATAAAAATAAATAAAAACAAAATATAAACATTTGAAAAAATGAAAATAAAAAAAAAACATTTTTGGCGGCCTGATT